TTCCGGCTCATCGACGTCTCGTTTGCTTTTTTTTCATTATTTCAAAACAGACTTCGGAGAGTGCGGTGAGATGAAGCAGGGCTAATTCTCATCTAAAGCGAGAACAGGCGGACCAGTGATGATCAGTTTTTTCAAACTGGTTACACCCGTCTGAACATCAATGTCGAGTAACATTTTTCCTAAAGTGATATGTCCGCGAACTTAATTATGGAGCATATTTAAAAAAAAAAATAATAACAAAACAGGAGTTTATTCTAGGATATAATTTATTTAATAGATGACTGATCATAAGACCTATAAATAAAAATCTTATTTTGTTCCCTTTTAATTGATTAATAATGAACTTTACGGTTTTTTACCCGATATTATATGTAAATATATAAAAATACTACTTAATAACACTAAAAAGGTTTTTTGGACGTATTCAATAAAACTATTATTTATTATATTTTATTACTTTTAATAATTCATAATAACATTAAAAATATAATCCTAGTTTTTAAAGGGTCAAAGCCCGCGCAGATTATTATGAAGGAAAGGTTGCTCGATGTACCCTACATAATAGAAGCTTGTCATGCCAAGACTCTTTAGAGAGAGCGTGTAGGCATGCTGCCGGATTTAAGAATGGTTCTCGGATACAGTAGCGAGTTTCTGGGTCCCCTGTTCCGCTTTTTAGAAAACATGGGTTTTTGTATATAGATCTGTTTTATGTGACGTGTATTTATTAGAGCGAGTGGTGAAATAGCTCACCTTTGCTCCTCCCGTTTTGTGTGTGTGTGTGTGTGTGTGTGTGTGTGTGTGTGCGCGCGCGCTTGCGCTTGCGCTTGTATGTTTGTTCAGGGTCGACAGCAGAATATTTATACAAATATTCCATTGACCATAATTTTGATTTTCCTATTACTATTATGTGTAAGTCGATGGAGGTATATTGAGTAGTCCACCAACTGTAATCAAGGGTGGTCCCACCTTGGTTTAAATGTATTTATTTGTGCGATTGTATTATAGATGTTAGTAAATATACTCTAGGTTAAATTTTGTCTGCGTTAGGAGCGGAAATTGCTGTCGAAAGCGGTCGGGAAGCGACGATCTCCTGAGCATCTGGCGTATAGGGATACATGCAGCTTTATAACAGGGTAGATGAACTCCCATGAGGTACAGGAGAGTGACAACCCTTCGGGGGTGAAAGTCCTAACAATCCTAGTTTTTAAAAGCATAATCTCTTAACACTACAAACGTTATTTCAACGATTATACAAGTTAAAAAGCTAATCGTTTCCTCTTCAGCGTGAAGACACTTGAACTATCATGAAGCCATGTCTCATCATTGCTCGAAGTTTAGATTTAGTTTGCCTAGAATTTGAGCAAATTCACACCTCGTCATGGTTAAGAATAACAAGTTTAAAGTTACATAGCAGATGTATTAAATTATCGACTTTAGGCTAAATGACTAGTAGGTTTGTTGCCCATAATTCCTAAATTGGTATGGCCAACCTTCTGCTATATTATTATGCGGTTACTTTCTGTTTAAGGCATTATTCGTCTGTAGTTGTTTTTGGATCAATCAATATTCCTTTATGTAGTTGCAATTTCTTAGTGAATGTCATATTTGAAATTCAACATTTTTTTGACATTTGTTGGCCATTTGAGAGTGTCTGTGCACTATCGACTTAGGCTTTTCGATGGAATATGTTCTTGGATTATTCGTAAGTATTCTTATACTTAAATATATTTTGTCTTTAAAACCATTTAACGTTCGTTGTAATAAGATAATCCGCGATAGTGCGGCTTTTGCGTAAGGCGATTATTCTCGGCCCCGTCTTGTTAATTAGAAGAGGACTCGGTCGAACTTAAACTGCGGTCACGACTTCGCCTTCATCTGATCCGTTTAACGTCGGACGGAAGAAAGGAGGACGTCCGTCTTCTCTTTCACCGGTGCGGTTTCGGGAGACTTAGCGAGAAGAAGAGACGTCGCCCTCGTGGTCAACCGCAGTCTTACATTTTGGCCCTTAAATTGCTTTGTTAGCCCTTCAAACTTATAAAGCCCTTCTCCCTCCCATGTAGTTTTCCTTTGTTCCGTATTCATTGAGAAAGTCTCAGAGATAAAAGGAAGATTTGACGAAAGATGGCTACCTAGTACTTATCTTTGTACAGAAATTAATTAAGACCGACCTAAGATTTTGTTTTCCTATATATTTTACAAAATATAATACGGTTTAAGCCTCCCATAAACAAAAAAAAAGCGTTAGTTTTGAGAAAATCAATTGTAAAACAGTGAAAGCTGATTAGAAAAACCTTTCGATCTTAAAATACTGTTAACTAATCATGTCGTCGTTATGGGATCTTTCATTTGGACATTTTCATTTTGGGGTGAGCGGGTTGTTGCATGGTATCGGGCATTAGACGGGTGGGTGTCACGCGAGGTCCAATTAGCCGCTTTCTCCTCATAACCTATAGGGGGTTTTGCACCCACCAAAGAAAACCGGGCCTTAATCACTTTACCAATAAACCATCAGCAAGATCCTTCACCCTAATGGTGCAGCGTAGCACTTTCCTGATAATTCCCGTCCGGTTTATGAAAAATGAAAAAAAAAAAAAAATGAAAGAGGAATTAATGATAACTTTTCTAGAACGCCTTGGAAGAGTTTGTCCATGCCACATATATTGCCTGTCTTGTTGACCATGATTTCGTACCGTACTTCACAAAATTTTGAAATTCGTCATGTTTTATAACACTTGATTACAAGATGATAATTCTTATGAGGTTGCACTCCTATAGCTGTAGTTAATAAGCAAAAATTTAAAAAAAACTATTCACTCAGTTATGGACTTTTCCTTTTATAGTTTTATGTTATTAAGTTTTACTGGATAAAATTGAACACAAGACCCAAGGACTTGATAAACTTCGATTCTTCGTAACGTACTTCACAAACTTTAACATTGTGTTTTATTAGTACAGAAAAGTTGCGTGCAAGATGAAAATTTTTATGAGTTGCAGTACTATTGCAGTAATGAATAAATATTCAAATAAAACAATCCAATTTAACAACAAGTAAATTAATGGTGTATCAATTACTAAGTACTCTTCATTTTATATTTATTTGTATTATTTTTTGTTAATTGTTGATTATTTGTAACCTATACATATTACAAATGTGATAACCAAACTTTTTTTTCATATGGTCACAGCACTAACACTAATGCCAGGCCAGCGTTGCATTAGTGAAGCAATTAATTTGCCTTTTATGTGGCGTACTCTATAACGAAATGAAATCAACCTTGTTGCGAACCTTGCCTTGCATATTGATGATACTGGTCAGCGCTTTATGATCAGTAAACAATGTAAATTCCTGGCTTTCTAGATAAATTCTGTATTCATCTAACGCAAAACTTATCGCCAGAGCTTTCAGATCGTAGGCCGAGTAATTTTCTTCGAAACGCGTTTTGCGTGTGGAGAAAGGCTTAGATGCCCCTTCGACTTCCTGTGCCAAACAATTCCGAAATTTACTTCCATCTGTATAGACGCTGAAGCTCTTTTGAAAATCTGGCGTTATAAGCACCAGAGGAGTCGTTATTTTTTCTTTCAGTTTTTCCCAAGCTCTTTGTCATTGCTGTGTCCATATCATTGGAGAGTCTTGCTTTCATAGTTCGTTTAGTGCGTACGCGTTTTGGCGAGATCCGGATTAAATCGATCAAAGAAATGAATTGCTCCCATGAAAGTGTGTAAAGATGAGCTCGATGCATTACGGTTGGAATGTTTCGAGAGGTTGGTTTTGAACTTTTGGAATCGGGAACGGAACAGTTCGTTGACAAAAAGAATGTTGAGGTAGTTGTAGATAGTGGCATTGTAAGGACATTTGACGATAGTGTTGACTTTTGATTGGAAGTATTGGATGCACTGGATGTTAGATGGATAAGTAGAACTCCACAGTTCCAATCCGTATGTCTAAAAAGGTCACAGTAAAGCCTTGTATAAGGTTAGTTTAGTTTTCACGGTCTTAGACGGATTTCGGTCTTCGTAATAGTCCAAGTCTTCGGCTAAGTTCTTGTCTTTTAAGTCTTATGTGGAGATTCAACGTCAGACTATTGTGTATATGACTTCAATGGAAGCCTGCATCTCTCTGTTGTTGATGGACAGGAGAGGGGGAGACTCCCTTTTACGTGTGGGGATTCCACGGCAGTCTGCTGTCTAGTCCTAAGTATTTGTCTTGAATGGAAGTCGGTATCCCTTACTTGCTAATGTAATGTAGGGCAAGACTGTTTTTCCAAGGTGAACATAAATTGAGTACATTTTTCGTCATTCAATCTTTTCCCTCCACTTTTTGCACCAGTCTTAGTAAGCTCAAGGTGTTCATGGATGTTGGAGATAGCTTGGTTTGGATTAAAGGACAAAATTGCGGTATCGTCCGCCTAGGTGGTTATGAGATGGTATTCGGGTATGTAGATAGGTCAGCAGTATAAACGATATAAAGGATAGGACCAAGAATGCTCCGTCGTGGGACGTCTGCTTGTATCTGCCTAATTTCCAAAAACTCGTTGTTTTATTAATTTTTTCTAAATTGGATTGGACACAAAACCCACGGACTTGACAATCTTTGACGTTTTTTCAATTTTAATACCTTAATAGTTAGAAAAGTGAGTTCCTGTTATTTATATTACATTTGTATAGTGAATACTTGCTTGAAAGAAAATTGCTAGTTTCTCTGAAGCCTAGGAGTGATAGCAGTGATGAGGGTTGATGATGACTTAATGTCGTTGGCGGAAACCCACGAGGACTTGTTATTTTGTGTAACAGAGCGAAAGAGGGGCTTAACATTTGTCTCAGGGGTGGATGAAAGAGAGTAACAAGGTCTAATCAGGACCACCTCTTAGCTGAAGTCTATTTGTCTTTTCGAACTTTGCCAACCGGACCGTACTAACAGCCCTGGCAATTCCCCCAAAGTACCCTATATCTCACTTATCCTGATGCTTACGGAGAAATTTTAACATTGACCCTTTTTACAGCCGTCTGCGAAGAGTGCCTCAACGATAAGAAGGAGCATGAGCAGAAGGCTCTATTGCAATACGACAATCAAACGATTTACATTCGTCCCATCAACCACAAAGTCGACAGCGATGATGGAACGGATCACAGTTTGGCCGGGCAAGATGTAAGTAGCTCTTTTTTTAAAGTAAAATATTACTTTGAATAAAATTATGCTCTTATTCACGCATACACACCCAAAAATGGACCACTTAGAGGTGAAATAACTAAAACAGACAAATTCCTAGTTTAAAAGTTTTGTCACCCTAGCAAATTTTTTGCAGTTCTAGTTCAAAAATTCTTACTTTCTAATTTAAGCTGAAGCAAGTTAAAATGCATATGTCAATTTGTACCTTTCTTTAATAAAAGCTATTTTTTAATTTAGGAGGAATATTGAGAACTTGATCACACTTGAGTTCATTGTAGATTGGAAGACTGTATTTAAGACTGAGTGAGAGTGTGACTGGGTTTGGATGTAGGAACTGATTGCATTCAGTGCTGAAATGACTTAGCTGGTTACAGCGCACGAAGCCCAACCTCGGTGGCTGGGCGGATAGGTCACAAGGTCTGACCCCGGACTACCAACACTAGGGGTGGTTTATTCTCGAGGTCTGCCGGTAATTCATTGTAAAGTACAAAAGTTGGGATTGCCTGTGGTCTGCGGAAAATGATAAAAGTGACTCCAATTTCTCAATCTCAAATTAAAATAATACTGATTACTATGCCAAAAAATTACATTTTATCATTCATAGAGAAACAGACATCTATAGGTTTTTTAAATTTAATATATTTATTATAACCTGCAACAATATTTACAACATTTAATGAGTTAAATTTACAAATGGCATGGATCATCACGAATTTAAAATTATTTTCTCACCGTATTTATTAGGATAATATTTAGTTATGTTGTAATTTTAGTTTTATGCACGTTCAAAATTGACTGGCTTTAAAACCAGATTTTCATTGGTATGTTCTGTATTGGCACATACCACTTACCACGTCGAGAGACGTGTTTGTAACTCCATCAACCTGATGATGATCGTATAATGGTCGAAATCCGGATCGTTATAAACAACAAATTTGTGACTAGAACAATCATTTACAAAAAGTGATCGATGGAGCTGGAATTAGCTTTATACCAATATTGACTCGAATAGATAACAATGGTTTCTCGAATGAGAGATAAGTGGTTTCAATGGGGTAAAATCTATGTTATTCCTAATTACTGAATATAAAAATCATTACAATGGTGACCGAGGTTAAGGCAAATTGAATAATGGCTGTTGCAGGCTAGCAGGCATCATGGTTGGCATTTACGATAGGCATTACCAGTGCGTCGCCTTCAAACCCGATCATTATCTTATTAGCCCCAGGACTAACGTCTCTATACTCTTAACTCTTTTCGAAAATACACTAATTACAGTTACCACAGTAGAACAACCGGCACTAAGATTTTTTTACACCTTTCTTCGAATATCCCCCTTGTGCCGGGTCAGGCTTTCGATAACCAACAGCTCTGGAAATTTCATTATTTTTCACTTTTTGTTAGAAATTTATGTTACCCTGAAAATTCAACAGAAAGTAGTGACGTATCCATTAGAGTTCGTGATTCGATTGACCAATTTTTTTCAATTAATTAATCTTTATGTAAGGTATTGGTTGGGATAAAAAAGTCAGTGTCATGATTCGAACCCACGACCTTCGGCTAAATACGCCGCTGCTCTACCACTTGATCTGTCGTGACATCGATCCACTCGGACACCATTTGTCGTGGGTTGGAATCCCGCTCAGGACACTGACTTTTTATCTCAACCAATACATTACATAAAGATTAATTAATTGAACAAAGTTATTTGGTCAATCGGACCACGAATTCTAATGGATTTAATAAGTAAAATGAAGTATATCTTCACTAAAGCTCTTCGTGGCCATTTCATTTGTCGCCGAGAATCAAATAGATTACACGACATTTGAAAAATGGCAAAAAGGAGGGAAAATTCCAAAGGTGGGGTTGAGATGGGAAGCTAGTGTCCGAGTGGATCGAAGTCACGATAGATCTAGTGGTACAGCAGCGGCGTATTTAACCGAAGGTCGTGGGTTCAAAGCCCGCTCATGACACTGAATTTTTTATTCAGTACCTTACATAAAGATTAATTAATTGTAATGAAGTATTTTAACAAATCATATATTGTATAATGAGTGAGGGCATTTATTGAACTTCACAACTTTTTTGTTTTACGTTTTATCGCCAATATGTATTTCGGACCATTGCCGGTACTCCTTTTCAAGGCTTGATCAAACTCATAATATACTCTTTCTTTAAGGCATTTTGTTAGATTATTTCCAAGCCAGGAATTCAGGAAATGATATGCTATATTGTCTATAGAAATTACTTGCAAAATCTGCATTTTTCATTTATGATTGCTGGATCTCCTACAATGTGCTTTAAGCAGTAGGTACAACCTGGTCTAGAATGGCAATCAAAAATGCCACTGTCCCTGGGAAGAGATTACCCTCTGTTATCCAAGGGAATGACATTGTCTATCGTTTGGTTATGTGCAAAGGTTTGGCTCTCCATTGGAGGACATGTCATTTTCCCGCCCATATTATTGTTATGTTACAACAGCGCTAGAGTACTAGCTTTAACTTTATTGGCTCTATACATTTTTTATTATAACATTACATGAATTCTTCACTTGCGAGGAAATCACGACGCTATTGGTACTTAGGCGACATGGAGGATTGTCGGGATGGGTCCTGGGGGTTGGAATGAGGGCTGGGGTTTTATGGAGTCTGTATTGACTTCTTGTAGTTTCGAATACAAAGGGATACCACAACCATACTAAGGTTGGATTTAAAGTAGAGGGAGGTTGGCTAATTGTTCTAAGGATTTTTGACTGGAGCAACTGGACTCTTCGGTAGTTGGAACGCTTGGTTGAACCGCACAGTTCCCTTCCCTACGCCCAAATTGGTTGTAGTAATGTTATGTAGATCTATTGTCATGTACTTTTGGGTAGTTCATACCGTTTTATTCTTTCAGGTCGAGTGTGATGGTTCCAAGTAAGACTTTGGTCAATGTAGACATTGCTGGGAGAGGAACAGAATAGTGATAAAGGGAAGAGTGGAGGTTATTTACTGTGATTTGGTTTCGTTGAGTCTATCCTACATTTTTTCAAACAGGAGAGATGATCCTGGACGTTTCTCGATACTGGTTCTTGGTTTGTCGACAGGGTGACGATATGAGGATTGACAGGAATGACTGCATTGTATATTGAATAGATAATGAGACCCAGGATGCTGCCTTGCGGAACACTCGCTCCGGATAGTGAATCGAAGAGAAGGTTGTTCCGATCCGCGCTTGACAGAATTTTACGTTGAAGTAATAAGCGGATGGAATGATTCTTTGGAGCGTGAAAAAATTTATAATTTCACAAATATTAAGGTTAACTAAACAACCTCAGTGGAATTATATCGAGGTGCCTGTTAGGCATTGGGGAAAAGAACGAAATTTCCCTTATGGTGTATCAGAGCACACAGAACAGACGTCAAAGATGAGGCCGACAAATTGGCCAAGAAAAGTTCGACCGGAACCCTTTTATGGGATACCAAATTGCAAAAAAGTAGATCCATCAAACAATGGGCTAAAAATAACTCCTTAGGTCAGTGAGAATGTATTTCATGACAGAGGCATGAGGAATATTTTTTAAAGTACCACCGCAGAACTAATAATAGAACTAGTAATCCTAGGATGTGTTAGTATTAGAATGGTATGTAGTAGGACTTCTAATTGGAAATTGCGTACTTCAGAAACCTATAGGCTGATTCAACCCTGTGATATTGTCAGGAAGAAGAAGAAACACCAGAGCTGCTGGTGAGAATATCTAACGTAGAGGTTTGAGATTCTTTCTATGAGAGGAAAAGTCATGGCCTGAAGGATACACCCGGGAGTACTTAACAAAGCTTCGGAATCTGGTAAAAAGCCTTCTGCTTAACAAAGCTTCATAGGCAATGATTGCACAAGACCAATATTGGTCGCGCTGCCCAATGTCGTAAAGAGGTTAACGCCTTGTAGCCTTAACCTAATTTGGGGTTTTGTAGTGTGTTTTATCATGTTCATCATGGTTAATATAGCATAAAAGAGTACGAAACCGTTTGCAAGTGCATTTATGCCGATTTTACAAGCTTAAGACGCACGGGCGGTGCAAATATGTCAGGTAACAAACAAACAGGGTAGTTAACAATTGCGTTGTTGTTAGAAGGAAGAGGAATAGGAGCCGGAGGGCTTGAACTGTCCTGTATAATCAAAGTCGGTAATTTGTGCACGGAATAGAGGAGTACGTTCAGTAAAGACTGGAAAAATAGGTGGAGAGCGAGAGGAAGGACAACTGAATTGCCGAAGGGAGGAGGGGACCGGGTTGGACGAGCTTGGAAATCTCCCGAAGAGCAGAACCCCGTAAATGAAGAAACGGCCCGTAATTAGGGGTTGGCTTCGGCCGGAAAATAAATACTTTTTAGAAAGTTGGACTGCCGGGAGCGAAATTGCAGAGAAATATAGACATCTTCGACACCGACCTCGACGTTCCGTTACCAAATCAAGGAATAAAAGAATAAAAGCCAGCTGACGACCGAACCAATTTTGGTCAAAATGCTTTTGTAAGCCCATTATTTTTTTAAAATCCTTTTCGCTGTCAGCATTCTGGTATTATACCAAAAAGTAACAGTGCACTAAAGCCTTTCTAATATTGCTAATAGATAATTATAATGGCTGAGTTTTTTTGGGGGAAAAAAAACTGTCTTTACAACTGAGTTTCATGGTAGTTGTAATATTTATTTCTCTTAGTTTCTCAGTGATTTATCGAGGCGGGCTTAATTTAAATCGTTGCAAGAAGACGTCCGGAAACCGTTTCTCATTGAAAGATTCGAATCATTCAATACGAGTGAGGCAAGTCCTTTTACGTTCACTATTAGTTATAAAACGCCGGTTCATTACACCCGGTGCCGCTGGTAAAGTAGCGTTTCATTTATCATTGTAATCATGGTACGAGCATGGTAATTTATGTATATTGTTAATGAAGTGGGTAGGTTCGAGAGGCTCCGACCGCCTCAGAGAATAGATATAGATGT